GGTATTTACATTCCCCATCCAGTTCATCAAAGGTCTTTGCCTTCTCGACTTCAGTTAGCCAATTGATGACGTAAAGTCCATCATAGCTGTAGGCATTGCTAACAGCTTCCTTCATATTGGCTATCCATACCCTCAGCCCAGCCGCGTCGGGCTCTGGCGGGAGGTCTATGGGAATGCACTTAGTCGCAGCTGTACAGTTCGGATCATGGTGGCTACTGTATCCGCCGCCACCAGTTCCGAAAAGATGCTGTGGAACCTGAGAACTACTGATTGACAGTGCACATACAGGACAAAGGCGAGTAGCCTTCGGAATGCAAATCTCACATGCCCTTTTCATGCATACCCTACATTCCCCAATTTTGCTGGGGTCAGGAATATCCCGATCACACATCGGACAGTTCTTGTCAGGAGGATCGGGGCCACGCATGGTCGGCGGCTCAAGGCCTGAAGAATCCTTCGGCCTTGTACCGTTGGGATCAAATCCTGGATAATATCCGGTTTCACGTTTATCCAGGGGCACGGGTTGCGTAGCCTTCGGAGGACTCTGAAGGTCAGCCGCGTTGGGTTGACCCCCAGTGGGAATGTCACGGAATCTGTCAACGGGTGGCCGCAGAGGCGGCGAGTACGACCGCGTCGGGTTCGTCTCAGGTGCGCCTCCAGGAGATCTATTCCTGACACGGTTACCATCGGGATCCCTTCTTCTCCTAGTTTCGTCCCTAAGGCACGCAAGACAACAGGGCCCTGGACAAATCCAAATCTCCTGTAGTCATCCTGCCCAGCAGAATGTCTGGTGCAGTAGTAGGTCCTACAAAACTGACACTCAATTCCCTTGGTCAGGAACGAGCTCTCCCTACAGACACCGCATCGGGGTCCGTTACGGGAACATTCTTCACACAAGTTCTCTTTGAACGAGAAACAATACTCACAAATATCACCTCTGCATCCTTTGCAGTGAAACTCAGCCATGAGGTGATTATTTCCATCACCTACATATTTACACCTGGGTTTACCAGGGTCGCCAGGGTTCCCACCGGCAGCACTCTTCTTCCCCCCTCCTCCTGGGCTTTGGATCTGGAGGAGGAGGTGGTGGAGGATCATCATCAGGAGGGCCAGGTGGAGGTGGCCGCTTATCCGGAGTACGGGACGCGGCACGCCTTCCTCCTGTGCGATCGTTCAATCCACTACTTGATGCCTGGTTCGAGTGCCTTGACTCGAGGGAGTTAATTCTCTGGGCCGTATTACCCAGCACCTCGAGCATTTGCTCGATCTTACTGTTGAGCGTAGTCGAAACGGCCATGTTATGAGTATTTTGCTTGTCCGTGTAGGATTTGCAGTCCCTTGACTTTATCTCAAGGTTGGCTTGTGTCTCATAAAGTTGGTCTTTAACCCACTTTATGCCGTCCCTATTATTGGTCCAGCATTGTTCGACATCTTGCATCATCCTATCAATCTGACATACCCTAGTGGACAGGTCCTCGATTTTGAGGTTTACTCCACCAATCGCAGGATGGTTGGATTGGCTCTCCACTAGAGATCTCTCGATCGCATCAACACGAGCTATAAGCCCGGTTACTCGATCAGAAAGAGACTCAAAAACAGTTTGAACTTGGGTGATGGAGCGAGCAACATCATCATAGCTTGCCCGCTCATTTAGGGCATCGCCTATGCTTGTCATGCGATTGGAAACGATCTTGACGCGTTGGCCAAGCTCGGTCACGATGTCCTTAGTCCCTTGTGACAGCTGCATGGCCGCGTTCGCAGCCTGCGTACACGTGCTACTCACATGGACGCATTGGTCGTATTTGGCCCTCCACGAGTTAACCTCAGTGGAGAGCTGCTTGATGCATTGATCACTTCTATCATTCCTACGCCCAAGGTCTTCGACCTTAGCAACCAGGCGATGAATGATCGCACTTACCGAAGAGTCCACTCTCCCTCTTTCAAGGGCTGTTACAAGATCAGCAACCTCGTTGGGTTGCTCCTCACTCGCAGGACCAAACCCTGATCCGCGATCTCGAGGAGTGGACAAATCAACCATGATCGGATTAGATCTCGGAGGTGTCCTGAAATCCTCTTGTACAGCCGTTGATGGCCGTGGGAATTCGCTCCGATTAGGAGACTGACTCTGATATGGTGCAGATCTTCTGGCATCACGAACCGCTGATGGCTGTGGCATACCTAGACCCTTTGTCACAAACAATTTGGGAACTACTGGCCTATCAGTCCGCATAGGAACTTCAGGCTTCATATCAGCAATGACAACGTCATGCAAATCAGTCGCATTGGACGCTCTAGACTCAGACATTGATTCAACATCGGTTGCGCTGCTGACGGTGTTGTTGTGATTGGAACTTGATGCCATCATGGACTCGGACTCAATTGGAACATCAGCTCCGTCCGTGTTGTCCATGGTGAAAAAGGAAGCCGCATTGGGCGTAGGGCGGACAGGCTGTACATTCGAGCCACTCGACCTATTGAATTCCTCCTGGAATGCTTCGATCCCATCAAGCACGTTAACCAACGTGTCCGCGTTTAGCGGATCCCTACCGACAATCGACGCTGGATCACCTGAGTGACCACGTCTTGAGCCCCGCACACTGGGGTTTCCCCTGTGAGCGGTCTCTCGATCCATCCTCCTAGCCCTATGCGAGCTGGCCGAGTCTGACCTGGACCGTTTGCTCGGCGTAGGACTGGGATGCAAGTCCAATCTATCTACAATATTTCGCTCCCTTGGACTCTCAAATCCTGGAAGTCCTGGGGGAGGGGACATGTTCCTCATGGTCGGGTTTACCGATGGCCTTGGCCTGACATTGCGGCTGGCCACATCAGGATTGAGATTTTCAATGGACAAAGGTAGCATGAACTCCTCGCCTCCAGCAGTCCGCTTTGGGCTCTGGAACTGCGGGAAAGATGATGGGGCGGGTGGCCCTGGCATCCATGTAGTGAAATCCATGCCAAAAATGTTACCGTCGTTGGGCCATGAGGCCATCCAATCTGACCTACCGGTTTCGGCTGGCAGATGAACATCAAATGCAACTCCACTGGATGTACCAGGTTCGGGATTACCGAGCGCTTGAAAAACTATACTACTGGTTGGCACAGGTCTACTGCTACTTCGAGAGTCACGAAACTCGGACTGACCAATATTCATCAGCTCCGGGAAAGATGAGGATTGAGCTCCAGGTGCAATACCGGGCTCGTCATCATCACGTCCTGAGACGGAATCATCATGGTCAGGACGATTAGCCCCACGACCCTGAGAGCGATTAGCTCTTGAGGCATTAGACGATAGGTCATCAGTGCGAGTAGCACTGGACCTTCCTGAAGGCATTGCTTCGGAAAAAGTGTGGTCCGACAAAAAGTCAGGACCGGAAAACATCGGCTGTCCGGGCACTTGGTCGTCATTCACAACGTCCAAGATTCCGGCCTGGCCGAGAAGCCATTCATCGGTCACCACATGAGGTCCATCCTCAGTGATTCCCGCCATGCTATATACACTACCCTACAATGCCTGCAGGGTTGTTAAACAAGGGGTTCGCGGTGCCAACCGAGGACGAATCCTACGGCTGATAACCTGCGAAAGGGTTTGAAACAGAGTTTCGGGATGGATAAAACAGGCCCTAACCCACCAACAAGAAGAGACCACCTTATCCCCCCGGTCCCAAGGGCAAAGCGGTTGCCCTCGGCCGGCACAAACACGAACCAAAAGGGGTGCCAGTTGTAACAAGGTAAAGAAGCCCAGCAAGGGCAGAGACAACCGAAAGCAAGCACAAAGCAGCAAACCAAGCAGGCAAACAGAGCGAAGCGCAGCGAGCAAGCAAGCAAACCAAAGCGAACTGTCAACCCACCAGCCTGACCCACAACCAGAGCAACCACGACCACTGCCTGCCCAACCGCGCGTTTTGTACTCGCACAGGTGGACGGCGTGTGCCGCCGAGGAAGCTCCGACGTTATGGCGGGCCGGAGTCGCCACAGTTAAAAGCTTGAGCCAAATACCGCGTTGGGTAATGGCGTACTACAAACTGCTATGATAAAAGTACATGCCCCCAAAAACAGTTTCTAATGTTTCCAATTAATTAGAACAATTAGCTGAACAATCAGTCAATGTTTTCTAATGTTCTATTTTTTCTAATTAAATAGAAAAAATAGCTGAAAAATCAGTCATTGTTTTACATTTTTCCTTTTTTTTCTAATTGTCCCCCGGTCTCCGGGATGTTGGGACCTATTTTTTTCGATTTTTTTATTCTTTTCTATTTTTTCTAATTAATTAGAAAAAATAGCTGAAAAATCAGACACGTTTTTCTATTTTTTCTAATTTTGCTAATTAATTAGAAGAATTAGCTGAAAAATCAGTCATGGTTTTCTAATTGTTCTATTTTTTCTGAAAAATCAGTCATTTTTTTCTAATTTTCCTAATTGTTCTAATAAATTAGAAAAAATAGAAAAAAATAGGTCCCAACATTCCGGAGACCGGGGGACAAGAAGAAAAAATAGAAAAATGAGCAAAAAATAACTAGAAAAATTAGGAAAATTGGAAAACAATGACTGTTTTTTCAGCTAATTTTTCTAATTAAATAGAAAAAATAGAAAAATATTTTAAAAAAAAATGGCTGATTTTTCAGCTATTTTTTCTAATTAATTAGAAAAAATAGAAAAATATAAAAAATGACTGATTTTTAAGCTAATTGTTCTAATTAATTAGAAAAAATAGAAAAATAATAATTAAAAAAAAAGGTCCCAACATCCCGGAGACCAGGGGACAATAAGAAAAATTAGAAAAAAAACAATGACTGATATTTCAGCTAAGTTTTCTAATTAATTAGAACAAATAGAAAACATGACTGATTTTTCAGCTAATTATCATCATCATGTTCATCAACATATTCGTTTTACCATCATATTTATCATCATGTTCATCATGATTTCTGCGCGCAACACGTTGTGACACATTTGGTTTAATCTTCCCTCATACCCCCCCCCCCCACGCCCTAGGATTGGCTCTCCTCTTGCCAGTTGTCGCCCATGGCATTCCTCGGGGGCATGGGAGAGGAGAGAGATTTGCGCGTTGCTGCTTGTGCTGAGTAAGCAAGCGCTTCCCATTGCACGCCGTGACTCTGACGTCGAAAGATGGTCTTTGATCCTTCGGAGTCCATGAATGCCTTGAGGACGTCTTGCGTTGCCCCGCCTTATGAAGCATCTGTGGCCCACCGCAGCTGTGCCACATGTAAATGTCCCGATGCAAACTCCTGCCACAGATTCGAGTACCCCACCCAGGAGCATATCTTTGACCACCTCAGGGATATGGCTGTGCGCCCATGTGCGGCTTCAGGTTCGGATCGGGGAACTATGAGAGACCCCGACGCCCGGGCCTGCACTGCCTTTCGGACCTCTGCAGGGCTCCGGGTAAAGTCCTCCAAGAGGTCCAGCGCCTAGCGTAAAACGGGTCCGAAACGGGTCCTCCGAAGCGGGCGCGCATCGAACGATTGCGGGAATTCCCACGCCTCGCCCAGGGCTCCCAGAGCCGGGAACAGCTGCTGGCGCAGGTCCTGGAGAAGCGCCTGAAACACTGTGTAACACAATCGGTTCGATCAAAAGGCCCAAAGGCCAAACTTCGAAACTCAGAAAGGGCCCGCGCCCTCGCGCCCTCGCGCCCGCGCCTTCACGGCAGCGTCCATGGGCGCCAGCCGCAGCGCCTGGCACGCAGCCAGCCTGGCTTCGCCCAGGCGCCCGCAAGCCTGGCCCGGCCCGGCACTTCGGCACACGCGAAGGCTCCTCTTCCACTCCTTCCACTCCTTCCACTCCTTCCACTCCTTCCACTCCTTCCACTCCTTCCACTCCTTCCAGATCGGGCCCATCAGGCCTTCAGGGCCGCCGCAGTGCGGAAGTGGGCCTTGGGCCAGTCCGGCCGCAGTGCCTTGCACTGCTCGGCCTGAAAGAGAAACGAAGCGTAAGAAGGCACGAGCCAGGTTTCAACTCGTCCCAGCGCCTCCGACAAAGCGAACTCGCCATTGCTGAGCTGCAAGAAGCACAACGAGCCTGGAGCAAAGCGACTTTCATGGCATCGTGACCCGCAAAATTTCGTGGCGAGCAGCGGTTTGCGCGCAGCGTCGCCGCCTGCTCCTTGTCAGCTTCCTTGCGCAGCGGCTCTTCGGCGCTTGGACCGCTTGGAATCTGAGTCGCGTCGCCTTCAGCTGAGCCAGCGCTTGCGCGTAGCAGCGGTTGGCCTCCGGAACTTCGGCAGCGGCACGCACGGTCGGAGCGCGGGGCGCCTCCTCGAACTTCTGCTGGGCGAAGAAGGCGTTGCCCTGCGCCTCACTTTTTCACTTTCCCGCGCGGATCAGATCGAACGGACGAATCTCTGCCTGCGCCTTCGCCATCAGACGCGGAACTACATCGATCCGGGTGCCAGATGGGAATACATGCCCTATCCATACTGCACATACCCAAAAGTCCAAGTCGGACGACTGCTGACTGGCGCTTGTGGCTTGGCTCATGGCTCATGGCTCGCGATTCATGCAACACTTGTCGCGTGCAGGTCGTGCTTGTGCTGGCTTGAGCATAGCATTTCATGCCCAAGCCCTAAGATTAGTCTAAGCTCATGTTCCTTCCCCAACCTGGTTCAGCTGCTGTGTGAAGGTCATCAATTGCTGCTCTAGCCTCACAATTCCCACGGTACGCTATCCGATGTGACGAAATGCGAGCTCTCCTGTCGCGCATCTCCGCTCCCCGCGCCAGCTCGGAATGCCTGCGCCTGCAAAGCGCATCGCTCACCTCTCAACCCAGACACCTCCACCCTCCCCTACTCCATTCACATCCATGGACCCCCATCCAGTTGCATTCATCAAATTGTCTAAGCGCCGCACTCATAGTCTGCCTTGAGCAACTTGCATTCCTTGGCCAGCTGAGCCTGAACACACACGACATCGAATGATCATCTAGGAGTCTGGACTGCGCACAAGCAACGCGAAAACACGCAAGGCAGACGCTGCACGTCGATGCACATCGACGTACGTTGCTTCAATCGGCGTGAGGCAAAACTCGGCCACTCGGCCACTCGGCCTTTAACTTCCGAGCTTCGCCCACTTCAAGGGCCAGCTGTTGTTTGCGCTGCCCGGCTGCCTGCACGCTCGGATTTCCCTCGCGAGCGAGTTGCACAAGGTTTCAACCCACCTCAAGGGCGGCCCTGGTCTCTGCGTGCTTTGCCAACGTCTGGTTCTGATACTTGTCCTGCAATATTCGGAATCCAACATCCGGTGGCGGTTTTACTTGGCTCCCTCACATACTTCATCACTGAGAACATCTGCCCACTTGGCTTTCTGAAGTGGGTCCTCCAACTCCGCCAACTTCTGCACCTGTTCATCCACCTCCGCCCTGGGTGCATGGCTGAATATGATCCATATTTGCCATGCCAAACCGTACAGCAATTTGCAAGGCCCGCCCCTGCTTCGCCACGTCTGCGCGGAGCAACTCACAGTCCCTGGCCGCTAAGATCCGACGGAAAGAGCGCCGAGCGCGAGCGCCTCGTCGTCTGATCCAAGCTCTGCTTGTGCTTCCGATATCTCGATGCCCAGTCCTGGCAAAGAAGCGACGGACAGGAAGGAAGCGGAGTGAGTGAGAAACAATCTGAAGGCGGAAGGCTTCAGTCCGAGACGTTCTGGTCGAAGAGCTTCTTCCGAAGCACTGGCCCAGAAGTGGAACCCACACTTGCACCTGCAAATTGAGCCAACGAGCCCACAGCCCGCCTGGCGTGGCTCGGAGAAGGCTCGAGCTTGCCTTCCAAGCTGCTCTCCGGCAGTCTCTCGCCTCGAGCAGTGCAGTTGGCCGGTGCCAGAATGCCGCGCAATGCAGTATCATGCAGTATAATGCAGTATAATGCAGTATAATGCAGTACGCTGCAGTAAGATGCAGTAAGATGCAGTACGATGTACACATGTATGCGGCCTCCCGGGACGTTGACTAGCCTCAGAGCCCAAGGCAAATTCGCGTGGGCTCAGGCATCGAACACCAGCCTGGCACTCATGGGGGGCACTGCATATGCTCCTGGCGAATGGCCAACAGGCCAGCAATACGGCAAATACGGCAATTTGCATCCGAAGCATCGCCGGCTCCTCTCTGAGTGTCCGGGTATCCTGAGCCGGGCGGCCGGGCGGCCGGGTCCGGGTATCCGCAGTGCAAATCGTTTCAAACATCTCCTGCATTGGACCTGCGTTCGGAGACCCCCGGCTCTTGCGGGTTGCTGGAGGCCACTGACCTCGCGTGTGATCCCTGGAAACGCCCAAAGCCAATTCGGGGCCCGGGCATTGTCTCAGGCCCAAAGCCCAGAGGCTGTGGCTGTGGCTTCTGAGCTTCTGAGCTTCGAGAGACACTGTGACGCTGTGTGCATCGCGAGCTGTGAAAGCTGCTGACATGGCCGATGGCCGACGCACGCTGTGAAGCTTGATGTGGCTGACGTGCTAGCGACTAGTCTCACTCTTGAGTGCCAAACCATACAAGAGAGCATTGCAGAACATTCGAACATGTTGAAGGATGCAAAAATCCCAGATCCAACAAAGGTCTCCATCGCACGTGAAGAAACGCATTTCAACGCACTCCATGTCTCGGATGGTCTCCGACTCTCGCCAGCTACGCAGCTTGAAGCTCTCCCTCGCTAATGGCCCAGCATTGTCAGGCACATACCTCAGAGCTGCTCTTTAGTTCACACCATGTGCAGATTCGCTCCAAAAAAAAGGTCAAGCCCTTGCACTTGGCTTTCATGAGACCGATGCGTGCATGCCCAACTCAATCGATCCCGAAAGCGGGATCATCTCAACCAAACAGGCACTGAAGGTGGCAAAGTAGAACGCAAAGCAAGAAGTCGCCGATGTGGCAATTTGATTTGCGCCCGCTTTGCACAGCTCGATATCACGCTGCTGTTGATGGAAGGAGCAAAGATTTACTTCTCGCATTTGCGACATGTTCGTTGTTGTGGTTGCGATTTGGCCCAAACAGCTTTTCGCGACACAAGCTTCCATATCCATGTCCGCGCCCTTCTCCCTTTTCCGTTTAGGTTGCACGTGGTCTTCTCCATTTGTATCATGTCTACTCTCTTTTTTAGCCACATGCGATTGATGAATGCAAAGAGTGGAGCAGCACATAGCTGCGATAAATGTTAGACCAGCGCCTATCCAGCCAGCATTGTGTGCAGCAACAAAAAGTCAACAGTGTCGTACAAACACACAGGTACAATATCCCAACATCGTTCTTTTACTATGTTCCCCCTTTCGAGGAATGAAAGTTCAAACTTCAAGCCTCAGGCGGCCTAAGGCCAATAAGAAGGCAGAACTTGGTGAATGTCAGATGAACCACTGGGTTCAAGCCATACCGCAACATCGCTTAGCTAGACGAGGCTGAGTTGCGAAGACTTACAGAGAGAGCAACGGTGAAAGCCAGTTATCGTTTACAATCAGTTTCCGAGCTAGACCGATACTGGACCCCAATGTTGGACGTGTGGAGAACGAGCAGGAGAGCCTCATCAGCGAGTGCTTGAACGCCGCGAAGGATGCAATCCACGAGACCTTCATGGCGAATTACCTGCGGGGCAACGAGATGAAGAGGTGAAGGACGAGATGGAGCAGGAGCAGGTTCAGTGAAGGTGCACGCCCGCAAGGCAGTGTCTCAGAAAGCAAATGATTTGTCTTTTTTGATCTGTCTCAGGAAGTAGATACTTTGCATTGTTTGTCAGACCATCAATGCAAATGATTCGCAGGAGCTTGAGAGGATACCTAAAGTCCTGGGGTTGGACCTAGGCTAGGTTTTGTGGGCATTTTGGGTACCCCCTCAGCTCCAAAGTCCGAATTGATGGTCGGCCCTGCGAAAGCCCGAGAGTTCTCTGTCTGGTTGGCTTTTGCCTTCTCCTCCTGCTTGCCGATGGTGCATAAACCCAGGTGACCCGGGCATGTCTCGTAACGGAGGGGGACCAAAAAAACAATGGGAAGGAGGGGTTCGTGGGTTTCACTTTCCGCCCAAGCAATTTCAAAAGGTAACGTGCAAGGTAACTATTCATGTTACATGGGTATAATCAGTACATTACAATTGTACATTCCATCCCCCTTTGGTTGTGGGGCAACTTGGATACGAGATTTGCACCAATAAATATGCTCCGCGGGGCAGCAAGCTGCAAAGTTGTCATGTGCCCATGATAAGGACAATTTGCACCTGGACAGTGTGAAAGTGGTCTCCCACACGACTAAATGCATGACCACCGCCCATGCATCAAGACCGACAAATCTCACACGCGCAGCAGGGCGATATACTCAGCTCCTGGAGCGCATTTCCAGCACGAAAAGGTCCGCTGTTGAGGGGAGTCTTTTTCGGGGTATGTGTTCTTGGTTTCTGTGCACGCAGCTTGTTTGGGGCGTTGTCGTGATGTTGACGCTTGCTATCTGCCTACTTCTGGGTGCTCGTATTGCGCTTTGATTACTGTTGCGTTATCTGGCAAGTTTCAGAGACGGGTCTTGTGGTTTGGGTGTTGGCATGACGTGGATTCGGATTCGCACTCGCGTCATGACCTACCTGTGCGAATTGACGACAAAGAGGTGGAGGTTCTCGCAGGACCGTGTCTGGGGCTCCAGCGAGCTGGACCAAAACAATAAAGAAACCTTCGCAGCAAGAAAACATCGAGACCCCATGAAAGCAATTCTCAAGTTGGATGCGCAAACAGGTGGCTCGAAGCTTCGGCGGGAACGACGGCTTTGTCGATCTTTACACGGGCCACGGCTTGCGGAACTTGACCCCGGAAGCCAACGGAGTTGCATCGCGCGGCTCGGTTTGGGTCGGGTGGCCCCGAGACGTGCAGCGCAAGTCCAAGTCCGGTCTGAGCTTGAAAGCTGTGCTCTGGACGGTTCTGGTGGCCTGAACCTTGACGCAGAGCCAACGTCCATCCTTTCGAATGATACAAGACGATGTGTTTTTAAGCGGATCACAGCATTGTCCAACTCCATGCACGTCCTCCAGTCTTCCAGCGTTTGGCCTTGCAACAGTTGCCCGTCTGCAGCCCAACAGAAGCGCGCGCAGCATAAGTCCACTGATTCTTATAGCTGAAAAATGCATGTTCCAAAGCAGAACGACCAGTTGGCTAGTCCGATTGACAAATGGTCCGACCAAGGTTGGCGTTGAAAGCGGCGCTTTCTAAGACCCGTGAACGGCTGCCAAATTGCTAACAAACCAAATAGCTGTGACACCTCCATCTACGCTTCGAAACTGGCGAGCAGCAAATGACTTGCAAATAAACGACAACATGCATTCGGCACACTGAGCAATTTGCACCACACCAGCATGCCATGGCTGCCGACGCCATCGGGAGACCCTGTTTCCCTAACTGAGCACAGCGGCTTCCGGACTTGCCACTTGCCACACATCTTACTTGTAATCATATCCTAAAGGTCCTGAAGGTCCTGAAGGTCCTAAAGGTCCTACATCCGATTTGACTAAAACTTCAAACTTGTGACTTTGTGACCCAAGAAACGGCCCGTTTTCGTCGCACAGGTGGCCCAAGAGAGGCCGAGGCCAAGCGCCTCGGGTGAAACGGCTCGCCAGATCTCCGATCTCCCAACGCTTGCAGCTAAAAACTCGGGGAGACATCGCCCAGACTTACGCGCCAGTTTGCTGGCAGGATGTCAAAACTGGACAGGTGACACTCCAAATTCTTGGACAGCACATGTTCGCATCGCTTGAATGCTGGCCCTATGACAGACCTAGCTTTAGGAGTGGAGTGTGAGCGTGAGGCCCAATGCCCCTGTTCGATTCATCTGATGAAAACCAGTTCAATCCACTTCTCAAGCAGGTACCGACATATCATCCACCAAAGCCCGAACTGCGGACGCCAGGCATTGCTGGGGTTGGTTGGTCCTATGCAAAATTCAGATCTCTCAGAATCGTGACAGAAGGCAAGCGTGGCCCTTGACCAATGCCGAGCCACGCAAAATGTGGGATAAAATTGAATGATTGGCTCGGACAAAGGCCGCCATGGCTGCGCTGCCCCTGAATCCTAGAAAAACAAAAACGAGGCATCTCGCCGTAAGTCTCGGAGGTCCGAGTCTAAACGCCTACGCAGCTTGAAGCTCTCTTTTTTCGCTAATGGCCCGTGTTTCGGGCACGTACCTCAGAGCTCGTTGGAAGTGACACGCTCCACTGCGACTCAATCATATCCTATTCCTAAAACCGAAAAGGCGAAGGCGATTGGCACCTGGTTTAGAGATGTTGAAACTGGCAAAAGGAGCGGATGTTAGCGGCACGCCGTTCGTGGCACATCCACTAGGCAAAGCGTCATGCATCTGTCATACGCGCCAAATTGTCATGCTTTAGCTTTCCATTCGTTCAGAAAGTTTCGGAAAGTCTGGGGCTCCCAACGTGAAGCCCTGGATGTGGAGCCCGATGGATGCCACTTCTGGGGAGCTGGGCCTGGCGCTTCCAATCGCTTCTCGCTTCGAATCGACGCTCTGGCTCCTCAGCCGGGGCGAGCAGCACTTCCGCGACATGGAGGGCCTGCGTCACAAGGCTTCGCATGGCTTCGCATGGTGGCGTCGCATGGCGTCGCATGGCGGCGCAACGAACAGCAAAGCAGCACAAATCTTCACGTAGCCTGAAAGGAGGCTGCAGGCCCAACTGCAGGGCCGAGTCCCAGTCGATGCTTTCAAGCCAGGCACTGGCCTGGCACCCAGACGCAATGCATCGCAGAAGAGCAATGCATCGCAGAAGCGCAGAAGCTCACCTTGAGGCCTGAAGCAGACTTGAGCCGCAAGTCCAGGTCTGGTGTCAGCAGCTGCTGGATGAGGCTCACGGCATCTCCTGAATGCACCTCGGCCATAAAGTTCTCAAAGATGCTCAGGCACAACTTGGGCGTTCAATGCGTCCGAAACAACCTGTCTGAATTGATGAATATTGTTTCATCACTGCCTTTCACACTCTGATTGCTACGGCTGCGACATGCTCGAAGCGGAAGTAGCCCTCGATGATCAACTGGAACAGCCTCAACCGAGCTGTGTTTACTCGAGGCAGACTATACCCTACAGGCCTGTGTTCGTTTGGATCGCGAAACGGAGGGCGGCCCTCCAACATTTCGAACATGAGCACGCCGCAGGACCACCTCGTTGCGCCAGAACGCTAGCAGCTGACGATGTGGGCTAGCCGAATCTAGACCTCTAAGCAGTGCGCCAGTCCAGCTCGCAGGCATAGGATTGCCTTTTGAATACCTGCATGTGGATGCGAGGTCTCACTCCGACACACATACTTGACGCGCCTCTGGTGGCAGGTACTCCGGCGTGCCACACATTGTGGATGTCAGATTCTGGCCTGAGTGCATGCTTCGCTGCATGCGCGGCGAGGCCAGGAGCTGGAAGCTGCAGAAGCTGCAGAAGCTGCAGAAGCTGCAGAAGCTGTAGACGTCTGGGCTGTCACGCGGAGCCCCATCTTGGCCAGGCCAAAGTCTGTCAGCCTACGCAGTCTGTGCACGAGTCAATGAGTCACGCGAATGCACCATCGAATCCAACCTCACATGGCCGTCCACGTCCAGCAGCACATTCTCAGGCCTGGCGTGGAGCTGTCCGCAACCCGCACGTGCCATTGCTTTCCCGGCTTCAGATCGCGATGGCAAATGCCCTTCTCATGCAGGTACTCCAGGCCAAGGGCGACCTGGACACGTAAAGGAAAATTGAAGGACAATAGAAGGACAAAAGAAACAGAAAATGAAACGGCAAATGACGCGGAGAAAGCACTCGAGCCTTTGGAAGCGTGACGGAAGTTCTTTGCTCAATTCAATCTTCTCCACATATCCGAATCGGCGCGCACTCCCAAAGGACAACTTTTGAAGTGCACTCGGCCCCACAACTCCCGTGCCCACTGGTAAGCGATGGTAAGCGGGCACTGAATGTTTTGATACAAACCTTCAAAATTCATTGCGTTTGTATAGCGTGTACAATGACGCTACGCCCGACCTACCGTTTTCCTCTGCAGTTCATTGCTCGTCTAGGCCTAGCTCATCCAGGACTAGAAGCAAGGATCTCTCAACTAGGACTAGGACTAGGTGCGAAAGCTCACTGGCGGCCCTTTTCACAAACGGCAAAAGCAAAGCAAGAAACGTGTTTCTCAGATGCTGCTATGTTCTGCAAATGCGGGCATGTGACCATGGCCATGAAACCGAGTCACCCCGCGATCGCCAACAACCGCACCGCTTTGAAGGCGGACCTGTTTGTTGTCTTCTCTCTGTTCTGCGCTGGGCCAACCATGGCAATTATTACCTCTTGTGGTCCTGGACGGGTGCGCCTGATGAATCTGCTGATGTGGCAGCGCTAGCTGTTGTGCCTGTGTCTGACCTTCATGACACCAATCGCCGTCATAGTGCGCACGGTTTGCGCCAGTCATCTGTCTCGTCATTGGTGTAGCTGCCATGTCGCAGTAGATCACCTCTCTGCATTGTTTGGCGATGTGTCCCGGCTGTCCGCGTCTGCAAACATTTGTTGCGCGTTCTCCTTTAAAGCCGTTGCCTCAATGTTGTTGCAGCCATCTTTCTCTTTTCCCTCGTTGCTGTATCCGCTTGCTTTGCCATACCCATGTTGTCCTTGAAAGCCGCCGTAGCCTTTGACCTTGTGATTCTTGCCCTTTCTTGCTCTTTGCCCTTGCGCCTGCCTTTCTTTCCTTTGCCTTTGTTGTACCATGTTGCTACCATGTTGCCTTCGCGCTGCTTTATGCGAGTGCTTGTGGTCTGTTGGATGATGATGTCGCTCTGTGATACTCTATCACCAGACATCTGATCTGTGCATACAGGTGTTGCTGGCACGCTCCCTTTGTCTCGTTGAGCAGTTGAGAAGTGTTGCCAGTATTGTGATTCTAACAGCATCTGGAAGTAGAGTGTTGTTGTCTTGTTCGTACTTGGAGAGTTGGAACTCCCGCTGTAAAGCTTTGCTCGAACTACTTTTCGTCGAGCTGAGGCTTGAGTAACATTGTTGGGCGCCCAATGCTTCTTGC